GCTCTTCATCCAAGAAATGCTACCAGTCGATAGTTGCAGATATGCTTCGGCATATTTTCAACAAACAATTTCAAGAAATACAATATAAAATCTCGAAAATTTAGTTCTTAAAAGAACTGTTTGTCCTTAAAAAAGTGCAATTTAAAAAAAAAAAGACTATGAAAATAGGCAAAAAAATGAGTATTACTCACAAAGATTCAACAACAACACGGTATTATACGAAATAATGACTGACACTAGGATAATTGTCAAATAAAAAAGGACAACATTGCTGAACACAGCGCAATGTGACCAACATAGCGATAATAAAATTCGGTTTAAACTAATTTTTGCAGCTTCAATCTAAATAAAATAGCTGTTACAATTATTTGCTCTATAAAGTAAAATGAAGAGATGCTCGGTATCTTAAATTATACAACTAATTTAAACATTTTTACCAAAATTTCATTTAGTCAGGTTTATAGACTTTGTTGTGTGATATGATCAATGACGTGCATCGGAAAATGTTTTGCGATTACAATAAGTACTCAGTCAGAAAAAATATTAAATGAAAAATTTAACAAATACCTACCTAGGAAAATGACAGCGCCTTTAAATGAAAAGTCCACGTTAAATATTAACTTATCGGTATTTAGTTTATGCAATATTCCCATATGTATCCAAGAATTAAATACTTAAAGATAGGTCTACATGGATTAGGTGAATGACTGGAAGAGGATCTGGTTATCGGTAAAATGTTTTATTAAATTGAGCGACGCCTAAAACTGAACGATTTCACGTTAAGGTGCGTTCACATCAGTTGCGCCAATCCGCGCCGCGCGGCGCAAATCATTTTTAACATATACTTTTATGCGCGCTAAAAAAAACACACTTCAAAAGTAGGTACATGTTAGAAAAATGTTTTGAGCGGCGCGGCGCAGCTGGTCTAAACGCATCTTTATAGCCTCCGCCATCAAAACACATGTTTACTACGTAATCGTGCAGTTTTGTAATCCGTATTTTTATTATACAGGTGGGCCTTAAATAAGTGCAAAAATTTCCAGGGCTGGTAGTGATGAGATAAACGCAGTTTTATTAATTTGCCTTGATCTAAGATAGCAACCTTTAAAAAATAATATCATTAACTTATGAAAGTTTTAAATAAGTACTCATTGATTCCTCATCAAAAAAAAAATATGAAAAAGTTCCATAACCATGGATATGGAAATGCATAGTTTTAGAGTTACAGGATGTTAAAACTTTTTAAAATTAGGTTTTTTATTGTAATTATCTTAAATATCATTATTTTTTTATTTGAAATTGTTGTAGGTTGGACTAATAGTAATAATAACTAATAAGAATAATATTTAATAATAAATTAGCTACAATATACAATTTACTAATTTTATTTTATTAAGTGTGATTAATAAAGTTGCATTTATCTCATCAAGGAGTACGAATTCGACGAAATAGGAAGATATAACTTTTAATTGGCATTAAACGGCCTACACAATTTTGATATGAAAAGAAAAAAAGTCAGTGGCGCACATGTTTTATTTTTGAAAAATATTCCAGTGATAACCCATGCGCACGTTATAGTAAATTTTACCCTCAAAATTTTAATCAAATCACTAAAACTACTTGGTAAAAATTATAATCGAAAGATTATTAAAACTTTAACACCCTGTAGCCTGTAGCTACGAAACAAAGCAGAATCGGACCTATTTTGATATGAAAAAGAAATCGTATTTTTACGTGAGGAATCTTCCCACGAGAGATGGCACATGTTTTTTGAAACACCCTGTATAAATATACGAAAATATAGCGAACATGACAAGTGTGGTGGTAGTTCTTTGGTAACTCTCACCAATTTGTGTCAGAGAATACTTCTTCAGATTGTACTCGTTAAAATTTAAATGAAAATCATTATTACAATTTGTAGCACTGCTAACTATGTTTTTTTTTTGACACAATTTGCTGGTAGCTTAACAAACACAACAATTGTCTGATGTCATAAAAATCTGAAGTACAATATTGTATTTTTTTTTAGTTTATGTCTTGAGACAGTTAACTTCGATATTTTTAACTATTTATAACCTAGCTATGTAGCTAAAACAAAAACTTGTATATATTTATAAACGTCTAATTAGTATAATATGCTTGAAGTTCATAAAACAATAAATTTTATAAACTTTTAATTACCGTTCTCCCGCCATAACTCATAAAAGTACGACAATCGTTGGGTGAATGCATCTTTTAAGATTTATTTATACAGGTATGTTAATAATTCAATGTTCTCAGATGTAGATTCAACGTTTAAACGATTTTAAAAAGATTTTAGTATATGGTATATCTTACTTCTTGAAGTAGGACTTCTTTACGCGCGCTGGGAGTAAAAATTCAAGGTCGTAACACACAAGCTAGCGATACGAAAAATGGTAAGGAAGACACGACTTAGAAATACGTTATGACGCAAAGTGTATTTGTCAGCAGTCCACGTGTTTATCAAAAATATTGATATTTTAATAGAAATTTTGTGACAGTATACCAAATTATTTATTCATTTTTAGTTTATTACTTTTTCAATATTTCAAACTACACACATAGTTATGTATGGTCTGATAAATGCGTTGATATACAGGGTGTCCCAGGCTGAGCGTTCGTTAGAAGTTTCTAAAGAACTACAATATCTAGATCGGAGATCTCTTTATGCCACAGTGGCGGTAGTAATCACTACATTTGTCGTTTAGGCTATACCGATTTTTTTGACAGGCAGTTTTTTTCAGCAAAAATTTTAAATACTTTTTTCCTCAAAACGGTTAATGTTATAGATATAGAGTATTTGATATCAAAATTCATAAAATTTTACAGAGGATTTCAGTATGTATTAAAAAATGGGGGTACCCATTTAAAATAAGAAAATTGCTGTCAACTTCCCGTATTTTTGAAGTGCCGCCATATTGAAAATATTTTTAATAGATAGATCTCGTTGTGAAACAGTAATGTGCAAAAAATCTCCGATCTAGATACTGTAGTTTTTTAGGAACTTCTAATGCACGCTCACGTATAGTCTGGGACATCCTGTATGTGAAGGGTCCAGCAAAATTCCGTTTCCATTCCATATCCCTTCCGTATTTTCGATTGAATTCGACGCTATACGTTTGCTTCCGTTCAGTATCAGTTCCATACTTTATTGTATAATTTATATTACGAAAGTTTTATTATTTTAGAAATTTGTTCTTTTGAAAAAGGTAATAGATTTAATTAAGAGGTGAAAGAATAAATAAATATCAGCAAAATGTTAACAGAGCTGGTACAAAATGTAAAAACTTGACAACGCTGTTTCCGATACGCATCAGTCCGTCAGCCAAATTTCTTTTACAAATGGAAGGGTAGCTGATATGGAAGGTATAGTGAGAATCAACATTTAAATGCACTTCTCAAGTTACTTCCCCGTATGGCAGTTATCAAGTTTTTTCCTATATATGTATATTTTTACCAGCCATATATCATAGGATTTAATAGCTTATTGTCGTGCAGAGTTTATTCATATTGTAGGGACTAGTTAGACCTACTATAATATTGTAAAACCCTAAATTTAAGAAATTGGTGTTTATCATGTTTGTCTCCTGGACCTTTCATATGTTCGTGTTAAAGATTTTTTATCCCCTTCCATGAAAAGCAGTGCACAATAGAACTCAATGGAGAAGAATTGTAAACTCAGTGAACAACAGCAACCAAAAATTAAAGAGGCAACAAAGCAGTAGTATGCTCGTAGCAATGCCCGGAGAGTGGAAGAGAGATAATATCACGTATCGGGCTCTTAAAGAGTCTATTACGCGTACTTTCAGGTCGCTCGGCTCTCAAGGATCGGGTAAAGCGGGTGTGTGACCGAAGGAAATATATATTATATTTCAGAAATCTGCCTAAGGCTTAGCCCGATCCTGTCGTGTTAAGCCACACCCAAAATTCCAAACACACGTGCTTTGATTAAGGACATTAAGGTTTGCAGAGCTTCAGAATTTGCCATAAAATAGCGAGCAATTTGTTACAGAACCATATAAATTATATATCACCGTAATCACAAAACTTCAATCTATTTCCGTATTGTAACGGAATTTTAAATTATGTCTTTATTTTCGAGAAAATTTAGTCCGAACACAAGAAATATTTTGTTGATGTTTGACCATCAAAATCTTAAAAATAAAGTTGTCTAAAAATGTGCTACAATACGGATATGGTATACAAGGGCGTAGATAAGGGGGGGGTACTGGGGGACAGTACCCCCCCTGACGCTTGACGAGATACGAGAATTGAAATAGTCATTGACTATGAAAGGACTTTTTTTAATTAATATCCGACATATAAGAACACTTTGTATGCTTTTAATTATGTTGATTTATCGTTTATAATATGTTCGACCTAATTAAAAGCACACAAAGTGTTCTTATTGGCCAGGACAGATTAGTGGGGTTAACTCTAATCAATATCCATAAAGATATTGAAATAAATGTTGATGCTGTTATTGATAGGTTTTCCAAACAGCGTACTAGAAAACTTGATTTTGTTTTGTAGTTTTATTTATAGTTTTTATAGTTTTTTTTTGATAGTTTAGATTTTTTTATTTATAGTTTATAGAAAATTAACTAATAAACGTCGTTGTTTCATTTTTGTGTATGTTATTTACAAATCTATATTTTAATTTTTGTGTTATGTTTTTATATCTTTTTGAAGACAAAAAAATCGCCGTCGTTTTAATTCGACAAAAAAATTCCGACGGTGATTTATTTTGCGACTTAATCATAGTACCACCCCCATAGCATACACCTATCTACGCCCCTGATGGTATAATCATTTTTAATTAACTTGTTTTTTTATTTAACTTTAATTTCCTTATTCGTTTGTGTAAAAATACCTAGCCATCAGTTTTACATAAAACATTAAATGCCGAACACTTATTTTGCTACTTTTTCGGACTAGTGAAATGGACTCGCAATAAAAATAAAAGGAACTATGCTTACCAGGGGTAGGTTGTGTTTGGTAACTCGTTTTCTTAATCCACTCGTACGGACTTCTTGCCGGTGGCGGTCGAATGTTACACTGTATTAACTGTTGAGGAGGCGTTATATTTCCATTTTGGCCTCCTGGACTACTCATATCACTCCCGCTCACGGTAATAGGAGGCGACGGTAGATGATTCTCCGTTTCGGGAATAGGCTGCTGAATAGACGGTATTCCAGTATGCACAAAGTCCGCAAATTCGTTATGGAACATTGCATGACCCGACGCGCCGTGGTGGTGCCACATTTGCGGTTCCTCCTGTGCCATATACGGCCCGGTAGCAGTATTCATTTGAGCTCCTTGGTGGTATCCGGGAGGATACCATGACGCCACGCGATTGTTCGTCTGGAAATGTCCGTTCGGAGCGGTTTGCTGATGATGATACATGCTGTTGTAGTAGGAAACCATCCTAGTTCGCAAGAAAACACACACTTAAGTCACCGAACTGTCATATAGAAATGTTTACAGAGAAAAATATAATATCACTTGTCCGTAAGAACTCGGCAACGAGCGAAGTACATCTAAACAAGGCTCGCAGTAATGCCAAGGCACATGGACAGATACGGCAACGATAAGGATTAAGGGGTGGGGCGTAGGAAGGAACGGGCCAATAGGAATACTGCACGGCGATCATGGCTGAAAACACTGAAAGCGTCGGCCAACTGCTAGGCGGGCCGTCGCGCTTTAGGCATAGCCCTTGATTAAGGAAACGTATAATTAATGCCAAAGCCGTTAACTTTGTGGTAATCGCTTTAGCGAATTGCCATTTTTTCACCACGGAGGTGGTGACGACTTTTAATTCAATCGCTTTTGATTGGTGGGTAAAAATATCTTTAGTTAATTAGCCAGATGTGCTTATTATCTTATAAACTATCTCGGGAAAATAATTATAAACTGCTGATGATGTCAAATAGGAGTAAAGTGCCTGAAGAACGTATCTAGTAATGAATTTTTAACAGTAAATTTGTCTGAGGCTCAAGACTATAGCCAAAATCGTTTTGTAGAAAAATTGTACCTGTCAATCTCTAAATATTTGATTAATCGTTCAATCAGTGAATGGTAGTTAATTTAAGGTATTTTTTTCAAACGTCACAAAAATATTAATTTTTGCGACGTAATTGAACTTAAAAAAGTCTTTTAAACGCCTAAGCATAAAAGTAAAGCACTTTTACGCCTAAGTACAAAAGTACGAAAACATATTATTAAACTGACTTAAAGCGTTAAATTCAACGAGCCATAGTTTTTCGATATATAATTACTTACAAGGTATTACATTTTTTACATTTTTCCATAGCAATTGCTAAAATTGCCTTATATCTATCAAAAATAGTAGATAAAACAGTACTTTAACCGCAAGGGTAGATTAAATGATACTTTAACAGCGAGGATAGGTTAAAAACTTTATTTCTTCTCACACGTTCTTTAATTGCTTCCATTTTTGAAAATTTTTGTATTCCTTTTCATCAAGTTATTCAGGATTTATATTGAAGTAGTTTGTACTTTGGATATGGCGTTTGTCGCCTCAGCCTGAATATCTGTTGGTAATTTACTTATTTCGTTTTGAGCCATTTCTGGCTCCAATTCAATCAGCAATCCACACGAAAGAGAATTAAAAAATATTGACTCAAAACTGACAACTAAAGAGACAGCTTTATTTATTTGTCAAATTACATAGAAACCAACGCCAACCCAGCACAATATATTTTCTACTCGTAATAAATTCCTTGAAATAATAATTTCTGAATATTTTTTAAAAAAACTCGCTATGGAAAAGAATATTGTTTTATACACGACGCACAGTGCTTCGAACATATGGCTCTAGAGGACAAAAATGCAAAACTTCTCTTTTATTGTAGGCAATTTATTCAACCTAGGTTTATTTGACACAAATGATGAGTACTCTCATTGTACTAAATGATGATATTCTTAGTCCCACGTTTATGAAAAAAAAATCTTATAAATAATAAAAATGTTGGAGCTGTGTTCCATCTAAGGAAATATTCATTTATAGTATGAATACGGTGTAAGTATTAAATAAATCCCTGCGATAAAAAAGAATTGGAATAACATTAATACATGATTTCTACAATATAAACCTAATATAAGATAAAAATGTTTTTCTTTAATGAAAAAGAAACATTAATGCTATATTTAATTAAAAAAAACTTAAGATACTATAAATTTACTTTAGGACAACAAAATCCATAGTTCGTAACTACTCTGATTCAGAAGAATCACTGCTGACAGAATCTTCCAAATTTATAGTATCCAAATCACAGGTAGGTGAAATATCCTCACATATAAGATATTTCTGTACATCATTTTCCAATATGTTACTTTTTCGCGTTGTTACTGTTCTTTTTGTTGGTATGAGGGGTTCGTATGTTAATAGTTACCTCTTTAATAGACCATATCGATATATTATTTTTTCGTTTTCTTGGGTATGAGGTTTTATGATAAATTGAAAGATGGAAACTTTTTTATGCCACGTTTCGATCCAACATAGTGGACTTTTTCAAGCACAAGTGGTTGTCTCATTGGACTGGAAGGTTCATCAATATCTAATAAAGAACACATTTTTTGAAATACAAATAATTTTGAGTTCTTGTCCTTATGATCAAGCCCAGTATTAACCAGATCGGCATTGCTTATCAATTTTACTCCATCTTAAAAGTATTATAAAATAAAGTTCGTCGCAAGCAGACGCAGGTGAACTATACAAAAATTAAAAGTGTATAAATATGACAACAAAAATATTCAATAAATACGATATGTTTTGATATGTTTTTTTAATGCCTTTTTGAAGTTTGAAAATGTAAAATTTTTATACCCATTTAAGAATCATCTTAAAAAATAAATAAAAACTAAACAATCACGAACTTGTTTAGAAATATTATTTAAAGTACATACCTTGTTTAACAATATCCATAGTGGCTTTCAATTAAGTACGTACCGTTTAACTCCATATACAGAACTACTATGAATGTTATTCTTTTCCCTGATATAAGATAATGATCGCAAAATTTATTTTTAGTGAAAATATTTGCTAACAAAAAACGCTGTTTATGAAAAATAATATACAGGATGGTTGAACATTGCTATAAGTATAAAATTACATATTTAGATATTAGTAAATTTTAACTTTTTTTTCGATTTTTGTCCATGGGACGAAGCACTGTGCGACGATAAAATTGCATTATCGTCTTGTGTAAACAATAACTATTATTTGAACGTTTAAAATTGTTTAAAATAGTATACATATTGTTTTGTTAGGAGTAAAAATTACACTTTTACTTACTTTTTATACGTTTGACATACAGGCGGGGGCACAAAAAGGCATTTTTACTCCGAATAGAACATGCTATTTTTTTTAAACGCCACAAATCATTTTTAAACAATTTCAAACGTTCCAAATAATATAAAAAATTTAAAAGTCATACCTTGTAAGTAATTAAATATGGAGAAACTATAGTTACGCTCGTTGAATTTGACACTTAATGCCAGTTTAATAATAAATTATTCTCATAGTTTTATGCTTAGGCATAAAAGTGGTTTACTTTTATGCCTATAGGCATTAAAATGACTTTTTTATATTGTCGATCAACTCGAAAGAATTAACATTGAAAAAAAAATATATTAAACAGTATATTTTTACTTACATTTCTTTTTCTTGCATGCTATGGACTGATTAATAATTTAATATCATCTGATCGTTTATTGAATTCGTCAAACCCCTATAATAATCAGAAATATATTCAAAATTATTCTAGGCCTAAACATTCTTTTCTTGCAATGAATAATAATTCTAATATAGAAAGTCAATAATGGATCTTAAGGAAATCATGTAACTTTTAAATAAAAAACAACAGCTTTATTAATATTTATATGTAAGTATATAGATTATCTGAAGCATTTTATGAATGAAATTTTAGATAATAACCATTCTTAACTAATACTATAAATTAATAAATTAAATTTATTAACTTTCAACCTAAGGAGTTAAAAAAACTATTGCACATCATAAATATCTATAAACTACAAAAAGTGCTAATAAAATACCCGTATTATTATTATTACAGCTGGAGTAATTATATAAAATGAACAATAATAAGAGTAAAAATATCTTTCAGTATATTTAACTAACGTATATTTGGATTTTAAAAATTAGAAATTATTGATGTTTAATGTCGATTTAATTATTATTATAAATTTTGGTTTTAAGAAATATACAGGGTGTTTCAAAAAACATGTGCCATCTCTCGTGTGGAGATTCCTCACGTAAAAATAATATTTATTATTCGTGTTAACATAGGTCCGAAAACTCTTCTTAACTCTTCATCTTTTTTCGATTTATTATAATTTTCTTCCGAGTGCTTTTAGCGATTCGAATGAAAGAGTATAGCCGGATTAATATGGGAAAAAATTCAGTTTTTAATTTTTTTCATATTGTTCCACTTCAAAAAATTCTAAAGAATTCCTGAGTCTAAAGAAGTATAAAAGACATTTTCTGAGGATTTTTAGTGGGTGACATACCTATTTCACAAAGGTTAAAAAAATGAAGATTTTAATTTTCTTTCCTCTGCTAAAAATCGGCTTTTCGTTTAAATCATGATCATATTATTTCTTCACGTCTTAGACTTCTAAGAATTAGAAAAAATCATTCTTAATTAATTTTTAATTTTACTATAAAAATAAAATTTAAAAAACAGTTTTTTTGAAAATTTCGAAAATCGTTTGAGTTAAAGAGCTAAAAATTTAGATGAATTATTTTGATTCGACACCCCTGAGTGCGAGTCAAAAAGCCGCGTGTGCAGATTTCCCATATTAATTCGAATATACCCTTTGAGGGGTAAAAGTTACTATAAGTGCGACATATTTTAATGCTAAAAAAGAGTCGATATTATGTTCACCAGGGACGTGCATATGGCTTTTCACTGGAATGGTTTTCTAAAAAAAAACATGTGCGCCATTGGCTTTTTTTCCTCTTATTAGCAAAAGTGTGTAGGCCATTTCATGCCAGTTAATAGTTGTATAAAACATATTCCAGTGATAACCTTTATGCACCTCCCTGGTAAATATGTCGACACATTTTTATCTTACTTAAACACACTGTAACTAAGAAACAAAGCAGAATCGGACGTTGATACAAAAAATAAATCTTATTTTTAGGGAGAGAATCTCCTCACGAGAGATGGCACACGTTTTGTGAAACACCCCGTATTTGGGGCTATTACTGTATTATCTGCAAAAGACTTACTTACCGTGCGTGTTTTATTTTTTTCCTCAGCGTATCTGAGAATTTAAAACTAGAAAAATAGCGGAAGTGGAGTATACATACATATAAATAACCGTCTAATTGGTTTTAAATAAATAGTTATAAAATGTGCATATTCAACTTTTTAAAGTATTTAGTACACCTCTTAACTCAGACACATTTGTATGTATACTGACTATCTAGAAACAAGATTTGAACGGTATTTTTTTATTCCAAAGAAAAAATATAGAGGTACATACCTATATTTATCAGATAGCTGCTAGGAAGATAAAATTGTACTTATTTCGCTAGAGCTAGAGTAAAATTGGATTCATTTTATACATATATAATTAAATTATTTATTACACTATCTTTGCGTAATACAAGAAAAAAACAAAAATATTTATAAATAGATGCCATGTAAAACATAAATATATTTAAAGATATATAAATTTTGAATTCATATACAGGGTTGTTCACCACATACGACACGGAGTATTGTAGCTAAACGATTAGATTTTTACAAATTGTAAGTTTTGGGTTCGTTGAAGGACTATTAAAGCTACAATTTAAAAATATTTTTACAAGATACAGAGTGTCCCAAATTAGTAAAAAATATTATAGTTGTATTTTTTTAAATGGAACACCCTGTATATTATATTATTTTTTGATTCTACGATTGAAATTAAGGTAAATTTGATCAAGGTTTATCACACATAAACCTTACCATTTTTAAAATATTTTCAATTTTATGAAATTGCAGTAAAAATTTTAAGGCTTCATTTCTACAAGAGTATAAAAGTTTTTAATACTAAATATTTACTGAAGATTATTTATTGATCAGATATTACGTTGCAATAATAAAAATTTTACTACCTTATACAGAGTGTCCAAAAATTTATATTAAATAATTACTAGCTTTAAACGGCAATAACTTGTTTAATTTAAATGGCGCTATATATTTTACGTGAATCAGATGGACAATATAATTGTCTATCAAATTGTGTTATACCATTTTTTACCCATCTCTTCAAATTTTCGTAGAAAATGCATTTTCTTATAATTTAGACCTCATTTATCACTATACCCATGGAATATTTTATAAACTTTAGTGTCATATGTCAAAAATGACAGGCTGTAGAAAAAAATCGGAGAACACAATTTCATTAAGGATGATTTAAGTTTTTATTTGAAAACTTTTAAAAAATAGAATGTCTAAAATAAAAAAAACTGTCTAAAATAGAATAATTTTTAGTTTTTAGGGTAAATTGGACGTCTTTAGAGAAATATGTGAATTGGTGAATATACTTACTTTATCTAAATGAGAGAT